GGTGTGATATCTGTGCAAGAGCCAGAGATAAGACGAACAGAGATGGCTGGGAAGATTGGGGAGGCACGGGCCCGAAAGGCAAGATCTGGGGTGAGGTCACCAGGGAAGCATGCGGGCTCACAGTGAGCTTCGGGGCTGGGGGGGACGGGGTGCTGAGTGGGCCCAGGCGAAGGGATGGGAGCAGACACAGGGAGGAAGGGAAGAGCGTGCCCTGGTCTTTCTTACTTTTCAAATGATTAAATACTTGGTACCTGAATACAACGTTGGGAGAGAGAGTTCAGCAGTTCAGACCCCCAGGGATCTGGCAGTAGGTAGACGGTGGAATGTTGTTCTGGAAGGCAAGAGAACCCTAGCCTTTGTTCTCTTCCCACGGTAAATAGTCCTGGGTTTGACGTGACTGGTATCCACCTGCTCTAATTAGTAAATACTTCTGAAAACTGCCCTTTGCCCAAGAAGCACTTGGGGTAGCTCTTGCTTACTGTGTGGTCGGACAGGCCTTGGGAAAGGCTGAAGGTGAGCGCAGCTGGGAAGGACGTGACCTGGGAAGAGGTGGCCCGAGGAGGCCCGAGCAGGAAGGGTGGTGGGCCAGTCCTTTCCTGGAGGCTGCACAGGGTGAACCCGCTCCCCACCTGCTCTCTGACTCCAAGTCACTCTTTGCCAAACTTCTGGGTGGGGCCTTGGGCTTCTGGTACAACCCACGTTCCCCTTTCCACACCTTACGCCCAGCTGTGTTCCCACAGCCCAGCAGCATAGGCTGCTGCTGCAAAAGGGACGTTGACATCTCTGTTTGGAATGGTGGCCTGGCACCCCACCCTGCGATGTGTTCCGGCCCAATGCTCACCTGATCCCACAGGAGGCAGCCTGACCAACTGGGAAGGTGTAACATAGCGGGGCACCCAGCGCTAACATTCGACAAGTCAGAGTGGTTAAAAAAGGGGCAGGACTTGTTAGAAGAGACCAAGGGGCATAATCACATTCCAGGCAGGGACAGGGTTTGACAAACCTGCCGTCAGGGCCCATGCTGAGGAAATGGGAGAAATCTCAATACTGACTATTACATAGCTGAGTTTACTGACATGGAAAGGTGGATTTTTAACTGAAACAAAGTTTGAAAAACCATGTATGGCATGATCTCATTTTGGAAAACATATACATAATATATACTTTGAAAAAGATCTGAAAGAATATACAACAAGGTGGTAATATTGATATTCACTTGAGGGATAGGAAATCTTTACCCCTATTTTTTTCTTACTTTTGGTGATCTATGTTTTCTCATGCATTTAAAACTTTTTGCTATTTTTATTTTTTCCAACTTTTACAATACACATATGCCCCCTTTATTTTATCAGAAGGCTATTTTTAACTCAAAAATGTTTAGTAAAAAATTGCTACCCTGCAAGGTAACAATCCAGGGGCTGCCTGCGCCACGGCTCTCGTAGTGGAGCCTCAGTCCTACAGGATGGGAAGAAACAATCTCTTGGCTCCCTTGCTCCCAGCCAGAGCTTAGAACCCAAACCCCATCCAAGCTCTGCACGGGATCCAGAAAGTGCTCATAATTACACAGCAAAAAATATAGTTAATTCTGAGATCAGTGAAAAAAAGAAGATTCGAGGCTAGTTTCCTCTGTCAACCCAGGCCACGCCTGGCCCCCACCTCTCTCATTGTCTGAAAATCCAACTTTATTTTAATAGAAGATTGGGAAAAAAAGTAGAATTTGAAGGATAAAGTGGTCAAAGCGTGCTGTTCCCTCCTGCTTCTCACCTGGGGCTCGTGCCTTGGTCCTGGTGGGCATTGGGTGCCATGAGTGATAGGACAAGGACTGTCATATCGAGGACACAGGATTGGGGAAGAGAGAGGCTGAGATAAACCTGTTTAACCTGCGTGGAATAAACTCCAGTTTCTCTGGGCCTTTTTCCATCTTTCAAAGGGAAGAATCTTCCCTGTGCCTCCCCTTGCACATTTTTAACTTCTCACAACAGACGAGCTATATGTGACTATGGCTTGACTGTGTGTGTGTGTGTATGGACGTGGGGCGGGGTAAGGGAGAAAGGCTGCTTGCTCACTCAGTGGTATTTAGACTCTGGATGGAACCACTAATGGGCACCCACACCCAATCCTGGCCTCAACCCTCCCTGTGTTCCAGGCGCAAACCTCCTCCCAACCCCGTTCCTAGGCCTGGTTTCACTGCTGTCCTTCAGCCCAGCACCCATTCCTTTCTGGGTCGTGCCTACGCCTATGGAGAGAGGAGGATACCTGTGTTTTTCTGAGCTGGATAAGCTCTGTGGGGGCACTTCCTGGCTTTGGCAAAGTTGCTACAAAGTCTGAATACAGTGATGGTTTTGTGCAGAGGGGAAGGCTGACATGAGGACTACAGAGGAGCAGGTGTGGGGCTGGAAGGACGGTGTCCCCCTCCAGCTTCCCCACACCCCATCCATTTCCGATGAGAGGGCCACTGACGAGGACTGAAGTGCGTCCCATTCCACCTTCCTTTCCCAGAGTTTATAATCTCTCATGCTAGAAAGGAACACGTCTAGAAAGGACATTATTCGAGAAAAACATTTATTGTGCAACAGCTACATGTTTAAGGCTCTTTCCTCCAGGACTTTTCTCTCCAGCTCAACACGGTGGGCTGACTGCAGCATCTCCTGCTCCGGCAGACACTCGCTCTCAGCTCTGGCCCCTCTTGTGCTCCTTCTTATCCCACCATTTTGGCAAGTTTAGGCCAAACTACGATTTATCTGTATCCTGGCTGGAAGGAGCAACCGAGGGCAGAGGCTGGGGCTGCCTGAGTGAGCTCTCCTCGGGATCCCCAGCACCTGGCGGCAGGAGCAGTGTAGGCTTCAATTGTTTTAACCGTCAAGACATGGTTGATTTTGATGGGTTCTGTGGGGCGTTTGCTAGTGTTTTGGACAATTCTGCTATAAAATAAACTGTAGTATTTACGTGAAAAGGAAAGTCAGGAACGGGAATACTCTTTTGGTTCCAAATTTTCTGAGTAGATTGTTCTGATCCAGACTCAAGATAAACGATCTCCCCTATGGGCTGTGGAAACCGTTGGACATTTTATAGTTTGCTGCCCTCTTGTGGCATAGAAGTGACAAAAAGACTGCCATTGTCTTTCAGATAATATCTTGCTCATTTATTTGTTCCACAGATAGTTACAGAGCAGGCCACTGGACCATGTGTGGGGCAAAAGACAGAACCACACATGGTCTCCGCTTACGGAATTCCCAGGCCAGTGGAGACGACTTTCACAGAACCAAGGTCCAAGGGCAACAGTACACACCGTGGCTTGCACACAGGGGCTGATGTTCCCTTACCTAACAGGGCTGGGGCTGCCAGGCCCAGGAGGTCAGCTGGCCCCAAGCTGAGACTCCAGCAGTCTTTGATAACTAGTCACTTCCCTCGGGAATGGCGGACCTGAGAAGCGCAAAATCACATCCTGCACCTGGCCTCCCGAAGCCCCCTCCTCCCTTCTTCTTCCTTATCTACTTAGTAATCCTTACTTCTCCAGAGTCCCGCCATTTCCAACCCCTAATGTGATTCTGCTTTGCCTCCTGTCATGGGCTAAATTGTGTCCCCTCAAAATTCACATATTGAAGCCCCAACCCCCAGTCCCTCAGAATGTGCCTGTACTGGGAGACAGGGCCTTTGAAGAGGTGATTAATTTCAAACTAGGCTGTGAGGGTGGGTCCAGTCCCATCTCACTGACATCTTCAGGAGGAAATTTGGCCACAGATCTGTATAAAGAAAAGACCACGTGAGGACACGGCGAGAAGGCAGCCTCTGTGAGCCAAGGAGAGAGGCCTCAGGAGAAAGCAGACCCGCTGACACACCCTGGTCTTGAGACTTCCATCCTCCAGAACTGAGAGAAAATAACTTTGTTGTTTAAGCCACTGTCTGTGGTATTTTGTTGTTGGCAGCCCTAACAAACTAATGTATCTCCTAACAAAATACTTACTTCTAAAGGACAGTCGGTGCATACTGAAGTTTTCAAGGATATTAACACGCAGACTCCCTGCTGGGCCTGGCCACAGTTTCTATATTTGTCCACAGGATCCCTAAGGCAAACACTGAGCAGTTGTCCTTTTTTTTTTTTTTGAGGAAGATTAGCCCTGAGCTAACTAACATCTGCTGCCAATCCTCCTCTCTTTGCTGAGGAAGACTGGCTCTGAGCTAACATCCATGCCCATCTTCCTCTACTTTATATGTGGGACACCTACCACAGCATGGCTTGCCAAGTGGTGCCATGTCCGCGCCCTGGATCCGAACTGGCGAAACTCTGGGCTGCCAAAGCAGAGCATGCGAACTTAACCACTTGGCCATGAGGCCAGCCTCCATAGTAATCTATTTTATAGATGAAAAACTTCTTAGATGTTAACTTGCCCAGGGTCACCCAGGAAGTAGGGAGAAGCAGGATTCAAACTCAATCCTGCCCTCAGGGGCCACCTCTTTCTCTCTAGTTTAGAGCAGCTGACATGGCCCAGGGAGGGTCACAGGACAGAAGCTAGAACTGTGCCACTGTCTGGCAAACTCCAAGAAGACTGGTCCGTAGACCCTGCTGATATCTGCAAATGGTGGTTGGGTTTCCTCCTTAACCCATCCAGAAAAAGCTCAATTCTTTGTTTTTGGTGAGGAAGATTGGCCCTGAGCTAACATCTGTTGCTGATCTTCCTCTATTTTGTATGTGGGATGCCACCACAGCATGGCCCGAGGAGTGGCGTGTAGGTCCACACCCAGGATCGGAACTCATGAACCCTGGGCTGCTGAAGTGGAGTGTGCAAACCCAACCACTACGCCACCAGGCCGGCCCTGAAAAAGCTCAATTCTTTTAAAAAACTCTCAAAGACACTCCACAAGGCAGGACGCAATATCATATCCATATCCCACCTGTACCTTGGAAGGTCTCTCTAACTAGCACACCTGTCTGAATTGACAGACCAAAGGAAACTCTTGTACATTCTGGTCTTCGTCAACAGTGACTCCTAACCACACTGTTATTCTTTCAAAATACATTTTATTAGTGGCACATGGAATTTAAAGTTAAGCAATTTCTTTCCAGAGAGAAGATAAGCCCTGACAGACTAAAAAACTGAGCAGATATGTCACAGCAGAAATACCATTTCCTGTGTAAAGACAGATTAATAGGAATACGCTCCACCAAGGAAATTACTTTCTTCACCATGCTGACCACATTGTACACACACCTGATTCAGCTGGGGAGGACCCCACAGCACTGGACAGTATGAGAACGCCTTAGGTCACGGCGTCATCTCCACATGGATCGGCCCTGCCTTGTGGCAGGAGAGGAGAGCGGTTGCGAGCCGCGTTCCTCACTATGAGGACCCAGAGGGTCTGCGGCAGGTGGAGGCTCTGGTCAGCCGTGCTGGCTGCTGGGAAAACAGTAGGTGAGCAGACTCGTGTGTGAGCCCAGGAAAGCCCTCAGACTGGAAGGAGAGCCACAGTTTCCATTGGGACCCTTCATCTCCAGACTAGAGAGCTACGGGTTACCAGAGGGTCCCCTTAAAGTGTCTGGAAACATGTCCATATTAGCAAGTTAGAGAGGATCTCAACTTTCTTGGAAGTCAGTTTACTCTCACAGATTCTTTTCCCCGCTGTCTAAACGGACTCTGCGACAGGCTGATGTGGCGGTTCACCCGGACTTCTCCCACTTGCTCTGCTGCTGCTCCTGTCTTACTTTCACATCCCTCCACTGGGCCCTCCCCTCCCCTCCTGCCCCTCCCTGGTCCTGTGGGAAAGTCTGCAACCAAGAGAGCCTGGGGAGTCGCTCTCCTCTGGATCCCACAAGCCTTTCAGGCTGCAGCTCCCGTCTCTGCCGCGGGTCTCCCACCTCCAAAGGGCACTCCCCACACTAGGCAGCTCCTGCCGTGTTACGATCACGTCACTTCTTCTTTCTAACCTAAGATAAGGGCTCAGCTCGCGAGAAAGGCTCAGCAGAGTGTGTCATGCCCACTAGTCTTACTTTGACCTTAATACAGACATTTCCCTTATCACTTCAGAATCCACCCCTCAACCAAACACTCAGATCAAGGCAACAAAAGGAGTGACAGACTGCAGGCTTTTTCCATTTCTACATCTAATTGATTAAGCTGAGTCTCCACACAGGAAGCTGTACTTGACCTCCAAGCTAGCATCTAGAATACAATCTTCCAGGGCTTAGGGCAGGTCCGTGACACTGGTGTCGTCAAGATCAATTCCGGAGTGCAGCTTGCAGTTCTTGACGGCTGCCCAGGGCATGGACGCAGAGGTCCACTTTACTGCCCAGTCTCCTGCTTTGCTGACCAGGATAACACCACCTAAACCTTTGAGCCTCGACTTCATATAACCCAACGAGATGTCAGCAGCCTCTTCCAACGTCTTTCCTGAAAACAAGGTTGAGAAACATACGTTATTGAAAGGAATCTGATGGGAAAATCATTTGCAGAATGGAAACCCACAGCGAATTAACAGAGACTTTTAGTAAATAATTCTGTTTGAACGCTTCAGAGAAGGATCCTCACATAAAAGACCCTCCTTGCACTGAGACGGAGCCCTCGCACCAGCCTGGGCAGAGCGCCCGGTCTCCCACACCCAGGCTCACAGCCTCTCTACTGCTCCCTTCTCCAGAGATGCACAAGACAAACGGTATTCTGTTCATTCCTCTGCCCATTTTTTGATCAGGCTGTTGGTTTTCCTGCTCAGCTGTACAAGCTCTTTATATATTTTGGATATTAACCCCTTATCAGATATATGATTTGCAAATATCTTCTCCCAGTTGGTGGGATGACAAACGGTATTCTAAAGGCTTTTCTCCAGATCCTAACAAAAGGTGGGAAGGAGCCAAAATAGTGTTAACCTGAAAGCAACATCTATAGCAAACAAGAAAGGGACGATTTCACATACTTCTGCATCTATTTATAAACAGCTTCTCTTCACTCGTCTTTGGAGAGGATGAACTTGTTCTACGTACCCTGTTCCACGTGGAAGAGAGCGAGTCTGGCCAGATTCACCTTCATGATGCTCTCCCCGTGCCCCGTCGTTGAAATGGCTCCAATGTCATTGTCAGCATAACCTCCAGATCCTGCTCAAAGAAGGCGATGGTGCTGAGCAGCAATAGTCAAGAAACTCAAACACATATTACAAGTCTAATGCTACATGAATATTAAATCCCAAGGAGTGCAATGCGTAGACAAAGGTCAGATTAGTAGCCATGACCTTGGGATGCACAGGTGGACTAGTGAGCGCCATGTGACGACCCTGAAATCAGGAGGACGAAGGAGCCTCATGGACAAGAGGCCTGACCTTTCAAGGAGCAGCTACACCAGGACAGCCCCTCCTTTGCCCCAAAGCATATCTACCCAGTCTGCACAGAGTGAAACACATACAGCCCCCACTGACCCACTCCTGGGAATTAGATAATGTGCTTCAGTGTTAATGCAAATAACATTTCGATCTGTAGTATCTCTGTAGAAGCAGTGTGTCTCTTTCATGCCACTCAAATATAAAAACTACAAACTTAAATTCTGTTTTCTTCTTTCACTAACTTGAGCCCGGGCCTGGGAATAGGTTTTGTGTACTTGGTCCTTTGGGAATAAGTCTACAGATGCTGCCATTGTGGCTGGAGAGGAGACAGGGGCACTATGGGGCAGCTCGGGGGCATCCCCCATCTCCCTCCCAGGTCACCCCAAAGATGTGCAATCTAGGAGAAACAGAGAGCTGAGTGCCCTCTGAAACGCCCTCTGAAAGCAGTGCCTGCCCTAAACAACTCCTTCCAGTCCAACTGCCACTCCCAGAAATCCTGAAGCTGCCACCAAGAAGAGGAGGGACACGAAGAAAGAAAGACAAGGAGAGAGGGGCGGAGAATCGAGGATGAGAACTTGTGGATAGGGGAAGTGGGAGCAGTAGCCATCCAGCAAGCCCACCTATACACGGTGTGTCCCCTACTCGGCCGACCATTTTATTAACGATGCCCCCCGTAGAGGTTGCATAAGCCACGTTTCCTCTGCAGTCCAAGGCAACAGCACCCACAGTGCCCAAGTTTCTGCCAAAAATAAACAGAAAAAAGTGACAGGCTGAAGATGAGAAACACTCCCACAAGTAACAGTGTAGCTTAATACCACTCAAGTTCCCCATTGTATGTTAATGGCAAACGGGACGCATTTTGATGCCAACATTCCTGGGTCACGGAGACGGCAAAGCGAGTCTGCTTTTTATTCCTCGTCAGTCAGATTGCGAGACATTCTGCTAGGCCTCAACTTTAAGAGCACATCCACTCCCAGCCCCATCATTTTCTAGCTGTGTGACTTAAGTTTTATTCTCTGTGTCTCACTTTCCCCATGTACAAAATGGGAAAAAAATTATTGAGTGCATCTCAACCCTGAGTGTGCATAAGAATCCCCTGGCTCCCCCGGAGATCCTGAGTTGACAGGTACAGGGTGGGACCCAGGACCCTGCACTTCCGACAACCTCCCAGGTGACGCTGATGCTGCCCGTCCACTTTGACTGTTTCATGGGGCTTGCTGTAAAGATAAAATGTTAATTTTTTCCCTAACATTTTATTCTAAGTTTTCAAGTAAAAAAGAAGAAATTGTACGAGAGTCATATACCCCCCACCTGCGCTCTATGATGAACTGTATTTGAGGCACCGTTGTGAGCGCAGCGACACAGCAGTGACCTCGACGGACAGAGTCCCTTCTCCCGTGGAGCTTGCATTTGGGGCAGAGGATAACAGAGCAATCAGAATTTCAGGTTTACTCAAATAGCAATAAAAACTAAGATGACGACAGCAGAATATGGGGAGAGCGGCGGTGGGGAGGTGCTGTTTTATATAGGGCCTCTCTGAAGGAAGGAGGGGTCAAGCCATGCTGATTGCCAGGGAAGAACGTTCCTGAAGCAGGAACACGCTGCCAAGTTTACAGAATTTCAAGGCCACTGTGGTTGGAGACAATAAGGCAGGGAGAGTGTGGGAGGGTCAGAGGGATGGCCAGCAGCCACATGATGAAGGCTCCGACAGGTAGGGTGACCATCCCCCCTGGTTACCCAGGACAGTCCTCATTTATGCCTGTTGTCCCAGCTTAATTCACAGTGTCCCTTTCATTCTCAAAATTAAGTTCCAGTTTCTGTTTTTTCTTATGTTCCTGTTTGTTCCAACAGAAATGCAGAGATGTGTTCACCAAAAAAGCGTACAAAAATGTTCACAGCAGTACTATTTGTAAACAAAAAACTGAAAGCAACACAAATGTCCACCAAAGGTAGAGTAGATAAATTGTGACAAATTCATGAAATGGGATACTATAGTGCAACGAGAATAAACTACTATGTGCAACAAACGGATGAACCTCAGAAATATCATCATCAAAGAGGGCACCCCAAACCCCACACACTATAGGATTCCATTTAAATAAAGTTCACATACAGGCAACACGAAACCACGGTGTTAGCAGTCAGATGAGTGGTTACCTTGGGGGAGGCTCGTGAACGGAAGGGGCCACGAGGGGCAGCTTCCGGCAATGTTCTATTTCTTGATCTGGGTGGCGATTACGTGGGTGTGGCCATGGTGAAAATTCATCAAGAAGTGCACCCATGATTAATGTACTTCTGCATCTCTGCTATACTCCTACAAAAAGTTTATCTTAAAATCATTATTCTCACTATTGTGTTGACTGAAGGAGAGAAGCATGGAAATAGAGATGTCAGGAGGCTTAAAGAGATAGTGGCTTCTTAGGGTGGTTCCAGTGGAAAGGGTGAGAAGCAGGCTGGACTGGGGACATTTCGAAGGCAGAGTTGATAGAATTTGCAGGTGGACTGCATGTGAGAGAGAGAAATCACCAACAACTCTATGGCTTTTGGCCTCAGGAACTGAAAGGATGCAAGAACCATTTACTGAAGTGCAGAAGAACATTAGGAACAGGTTTTTGTTTTGTGGTTGGTATGTGTGGAGGGGGGTCAGGTGGAGAAATAGAGAGTTCAGTTTGGGACGGAAGCTGGAGGTACCTTTTAGGCAACCACATGGAGAGAGTGAGCTGCAGCATTCAAGGGGCGAGGAGGAGAAATCTGCTCATCTGTTTAGAAGAAACAGGAACCCTACCTTCCATCATTCACAAAAATCAACTCCAGATAGCTAAAGACCTAAATAATAAAACACAGAAGAAAATTCTTCAAGAATCTAGGTGAATACATGTCTCAAGGTGGGGCTACCTGCTAAGTTCCCAGTGTTACAAACTCTACAAGAAGAGGTAGCCTACAAATTACAAAAAAATAAAAACTTTTATATGGCAAAAATACCACAATCAAGACTAAAAACAACAGATTTGGGAACATTTTTTTTAACAGAGAAGATAGCTTAAGGACTGACAGCAAATGAAACAACTAAAGAGAAGAAATGATCATAGGACAAAAATAGGCAAATTCATAGAAAGGAAGGACCCACAAACAAATGGAAAATGCTCAAATTTGTTAGTAGTCAGGGAAAAGCAAAGTAAACTGACAATGTCATTCTTCTCGCACCAGATAAGGAAAGGGGCGCTCCCAGTCATTACTAGAGGCAGGTCCACACTTAACATGTGCAAGGGGTCCATGCAAGAATATAAATGCAGGGGCCAGCCCAGTGGTGTAGTGGTCAAGTTTGCACACTCTACTTTGGTGGCCCAGGGTTTGCGGATTCGGAACCCAGGCATGGACCTAGGCACCGCTTATCAAGCCATGCTGTGGCAGGCCTCCCGCATATAAAGTAGAGGAAGATGGGCACGGATGTTAGCTCAGGGCCAATCTTCCTCAGCAAAAAGAGGAGGATTGGCAGTAGATGTCAGCTTAGGGCTGATCTTCCTTAAAAAAAAAAAAATACAAATGCAAATGGAGGCCCACACACCAAATGTTTTATATTTAGAAGTTATAAATATGTTCTCTCCTCTTACCGTGACAAATCTATGTTGAAAAGTATGTAAATCTATGGTTTTCATATGACTGAAAGCTGACAAACTACCAGTGATGACAATTTAATACTGTGCACATCTGGATCTTTTGTTGATCAGCTGGTGATGGCTGGATGAGTGAAAAAAACCACACACACATATCCATAATTCCTAAGTTGTTATTTATTCCATGAAATTAACTTTCCTTGCCTTCATTTCATGGAGCACTGATTATGTTCTTATAATCAACATTTCCACATAACATGCATCCTATTGACAAAGAGCCAAATAACATCCTTTCTTCAGTCAATGTAGTTCGTAGCAAGTTTTTCATTGATTTTAATTTGGAGAAGTTTCACTCTGCTGAGGCAGTAGCAACTGGAATTATTTCTTAAAGCAGTGCTTAGATTTGGAAATGAATCCTGATTTTTACATTACCACACTCAAATGATATATATATATATATGGGGTTCATATGGTAAATTATCACAGAAGATATTACTAAGTATTTTAATTTGATCATATAAATCACAATCACTTAGTATAGTCATTTTCACCATCTCTCAAGCAGTATTTAGATCCATGCAGAATATCTTAAGTTCTTTCAAATTTCAATGATGGTATATTATAAAAAAAACTGAAAACAGGAGTATGCTGTCGCATTCTGTTCAAATCTTTCTTCAAATGGTACTAAGGTTTGATTTATAAGGAACAGAAAAAGAGCCTCTACAGAAACTGGTTTGGGGATCATTTGTACACGAATCTTCTCCTTCAGCTTAGGCAAATATTTCTGTTTCCTTGTTTTAATTTGCTTATATTTTATTGGAATGTCATTTTTCTTGTGTATTTCACATGCATTTTTGCTTTTTTCTCTAAACAAAAAAAATTTAATCCTTTAAAAAGTGAAATAGTCAAACAAGATTTTTTTAAAGCTTTTGTTAAGCTTATCGATAGAATGAACAGCTCACACTAAAGAACTGCAGACAGCGCAAATGCACCATCACCTTCACCTTCTGCCACAGTCCAGGACTTGCTCCTTGAGGGTCTTCTATGGTTCTGCTCGACTCTTCTATCTAAATTCAACTTAACGACCCTAACAGCATTTCGTTGGTATTCCCTCCATGAGTCTGAAAGTTTCATCAAGCTGTTCCATCTTTGGGCCTATCTAGAAAATCGCGTTAATGGATGCTCTACTGTCCCACAACGTCATTATTATCGGCACAGCGGAGGGCCTGTCTCCTAGAAACAAATTCAAACTGTGAACTGCACATGTCACATAGAATATCTCTGGATTCTTGGCCAAACTTTGTACTTGTTTACGTTTTATTTACCAACCATATTAGCTCCATTATCACAGGCTCACCTTTGATAATCTTTTCTTTTTTTTTGAGGAATATTAGTCCTGAGCTAACTACTGCCAATCCTCCTCTTTTTGCTGAGGAAGCCTGGCCCTGAGCTAACATCCATGCCCACCTTCCTCTACTGTATACATGGGATGCCTACCACAGCATGGGTTTTGCCAAGCGGTGCCATGTCCGCACCAGGGATCGAAACGGGCAAACCCCAGGCCGCCGAGAAGCCCGGAACGTGCAAAATTAACCGCTGCGCCAGCGGGCCCCTGATAGTCTTTTAAATGTTAGTTTTTCAACATGTCTTCTGACCACGGTACATTCTAGTTGAACTGAATATTTTTTAAAAAATTATATATTATCTTATCTCTCGCTTTAATTAAATAAATCTGTTTGAATTCTCTACCCTAGATAATGATCATTAGTTTCAATATTTTTGGTCCTAACTACATGTTTGGCATTTTATCAAATTTTGAAATAATTTTTACAAAACCTAGAAATTTTCTGCTGTTTTCTGTAAACACTGTGTTGGTGGTGCTATGAAAAGCATCGTTAGGCGTGGCTAAATATTGGACACATTGTATTATTCTTTCAAGAACATTACGTTGATGTTTTCTATCTTGGCTTTTTCCAGCATCATTTGTTGTTTATTCAGTCTTTTCCCTCCAACGCTAACTGTGTGTGTGACTCTTCATCATTCTCAACGAAGTCTCCTTTACTAAAGAACACGAAGCTGCAGTGATTTCATCTGAACTGTTCAAGTTATGGACTTGATAGGAATAACAGCCTCAACAATTTTCATTGTTTTGATAAACAATTAAATCTTCATTGACCAAATAATTTGTAATGTCCTGTCTGTGAATTTTATGTGAATCATCCTGGAAGAAGACTGCTTACTTTTATTTATTTATTTACTTTATTTTTCCTTTTTTTCCCAAAGCCCCCCGGTACAGAGTTGTGTATTTTTAGCTGTTGGTCCTTCTGGTTGTGGCATGTGGGATGCCGCCTCAGCATGGCTTGACGAGCAGTGCCGTGTCCACACTCAGGATTCGAACCAGTAAAACCCTGGGCCCCCAAGGCAGAGCGCTCAAACTTAACCACTCAGCCACGGGGCCGGCCCCATAGACTGCTTTCTTTTACTGTTTTGTTTTTACAAATGAAAGCAGACCATTTCTTTGAAGATTTTTTGCTTCTTTTTTCCTTTCAGCTTTTTCTTCTTTTGTGAGTTCCTCTTAAGTATTCTTTTTCTATCAAAATCTTGACTTACACTCATTTTCAACAATCTAGGGATTAAAAAGTAAAATGGAATTATATTGAAAGTGTACAAAATTAGAACATATTTTCACCAAAATTGAGAGCAAATTAAAAAAAGCAATTTTCAGATATAATTTCACAGTTAGTTTTTTCTAAATTATACAAAATTATTAATATTAAAATCAAAATATGAATTATAATTAATGAATTAACATTTTAAATCAAAATTATTTAAAAGCTGAAATTTTTAACATTATTGAAAATTTAACTAAATCTTCTAAATATTCTTGTAAGAATAAAACCATTCACAACTCTAATATTCAGTGTTCATTTAGCTGCTGATACAAAGAGTTGGTGCTGCACGCAGGTTCTATCTAGACCTGTGCTGTCCAATACAGCAGCCACTAACTACATGGGTCTCCTGAGCACTGGAAACGTGGGCAGTCCGCAGCGAGATGCGCCGGAAGTGTAAATCACACATCAGATTTTGAATATTTAATATCAAATTTTATCAAATTTTATACTGGATTTACATTGATTTATATTGATTACATGTTGAAATGACAATATTTCGGGTATATTGGGTTAAACTTAATATTAATCTCACCTGTTTATTTTTTTTAAATGTGGCGACTGGAAAACTGCAGATTGCCTCTGTGGCTCTCGCATTTCTATTGGACAGTGCCAGTCTAGACCTACACATACACAAATTCAAGAGTAACAGGCATCCGCCCTCACGTGCAAGTCTTCCAGATACTGTACTATTCCACAAACACCTCCAGAACCATAAATTGAAACATGTAGAGAAAATGGGCACTGGGCAAGACTGGGAAACGACACTTCATTATGCAAGAATTTATTTGACAAGTTAATTTGTCTTTTTCTCTTACCTAAGTCCTTGTGCTGTTCAATTCTTCCCCACGTTCCAAAGCAGTGTCCATTTCTGATGTCAGCAGGGGCACAATCCATAAACCTTTAGACTTAGGTGGCTTTGCTTCCAAGACAGAGCAAGAGACGCAGAGAAGCGTTTTGCTGGGGGCTGAATGATGTTAGTCACAAGGGCAGATCATGAGGGTTATGGGTGATGCTGTGCGACTGCTGAGTCACAGAGATGCCGCATGTATCTGTAATAAACCAACTGTTTTGTGTATTTGTGATACGAGGGCCTTCTAAAGTGCAGGGCCCAGGGAAGGAGCCCCTCTTGCTTAAATGTAAAAGTAGCACTGGCTGGTGGAGATGTGTTGTTGCAGAATTTTTGGAAAGCAATGTGGCAACATCTATGAAAATGTACCTGAACCATTGATGAAGCAACCCCGTTCCTGTGACTCTAGCCCACAGGTACAACAGCACACTTGGTAAGGTTATCAAAAGCCATCAACACATGGCCAATCTGGTAAAACAGATTCTCAACCCGGGGACACATCAGAATTACCTGGGAAACTTTTTCCTAATACAGCGGCCTAGTCTCTCTACCTCATACCTATTAAATTCCCTGGGGAAGGGCTCAGACATGTATATTTTAAAAAAGCTCCCCAGGTGATACTAAAGTGTATCTCTGGTTAAATTACAAATCTAAAAAAGTGCACAGAGTCAACAGATTATATTCCATTATAAACTCCTAGGCCATATTCAAATTTTCTTTAAATAAGGGGGCTTTTATTTGGGATTCTGAAATCTCTAACAAAGAAAACTGTAATTCAGAACATATAATTAACTCAAACTTATCAGAGTTTACTGATTTCTCTGCACTACGAAAGAGTGCTTAAGTAAGTTCACAGGGTACACTAGACCACAGAGAACCTGTTTAGTCTACAGTAGTCCCCCTGATCTGAGGGGGATACATTCCAAGACCCCCAGTGGATGCCTGAAACTTTGGACAGTACCAAACCATATATATACTATGTTTGATAAAGTCTAATGTATAAATTAGTTACAGTAAAAGATCCACAACAATAACTAATAATAAAGTTGGCTTTGGGGCCATTATTAAGTAAAATAAGGGTTACTTGCACACAAGCACTGTGATATCATGATTGTCGCTCTGACAACCGAGACAGCTACTAGGTGACTAATGAGCGGGGAGCATACACAGCGCGGATACGATCAACAAAGGGATGATTCACCTCTCCGCAGGACAGAGTGGGAGGGCGAGAGATTCCTCACACTACTCAGACTGGCGTGCAATTTAAAACTTATGAATGGTTTATTTCTGGAATTTTCCATTTAATATTTTCAGACTGCAATTGACTAGGGATAACTGACACCACTGACAGTGAAACTGTGGATAAGGGGGACTCCTGTACTTAAGACAACAAACTGATCAAGAAGCGTCCAGATAGTTAACACATTAACACAAGGCATTCTCTTATTAATTTACGTAGGAGAGAAACTCTGTTAGCCTAATTCAAGTTGCTAGTCACAGGAGTAATAAATGAGGTTAAATTTAAGAAAAGAGCAGTTTTTCCATTATTTAGTGTGAATTATTTTGTATGAAAACTGAAACTACCAAGTGATATTAGATTTACTTAAGAAATGTATATAACCAGATATCTGTCAAACTTTCACACTTGAATAAATCCCAAACACAGGAGCCGCAGATGACACTTACTTTTGACAGTCTAATTTCTGAGCATCTTTCTCATGCTTCTCCTTTTCAAGGCGCTTTATGTTTCTTTCTGTTACCAACTGCTTTCCAGGAACCTCTGGAACCCCCATGGCTGCTGCAAATTTTGCTGCACCTTGGTCAGTCAGAAAGCAGTGAGGTGTCTAGAGCCAGAAAGAAAGGGAAAATAGTTAGTTTTTTGAAAAAGTTAAAATCTGTTTGAACTGTGTAGAAATAATTACTTCTCTCTGGGTACAAAGCGTCAAAAATGCAGATTCCACTGGCTTGCTTTTCTCGATGCTGGAAAGATCCTGGTCCGCTGTGCTTTTGTATTTTGAAAAAAACTCAAAAATGGTGGAATATTACTAGGAATGTGACTTACGTACAATCTTAAATTTAGCGAACTTAATCCATTTTTATTTGACACATGCTATTGAACAGTGGGTGTGTTGAGTTCGTGTGTGTTATACGTGTGGAGAGAAGGCTGAAGAAAATACAGGAAGATAGCATGAAAACAAAGTAATCACTGGTTAAATGATTACTATTCAAACTACGTTGTCAACAGAGTCAGAATCTTGGCTTAGTTGAGAAACTTAAATAACACAGCTTCCATTCTTTTATATAATTTTAGGACAACAGTGATCGTAAGTAGTTCCTACAGTCAGACCCCTTTTAGTCACCAGAGTACACAAGTAACAATTCTGTAGGAGAAGGATGCTTTATTATCACATATACCTTTTCCATAACAAGCCGCGCAAGTTTAATGGGATTTGCTACACAGCGGACTGCAGACACGGCTCCTGCAGACAGGTCTTTTCCATTCATGATACTGGCATCCATTTCAACTTCCCCATTTACGTTCAAGACAGATCCACAACCTAAAACCAAAAAGAAGTTGAAAAAGAAGAGTTATGAATTTAGAAATGGGTTTAGTTTCCTCTAGGCTGCCTACTTCAATTCATCCTCTACCCCATTACCAGAGGAAAAAATTTTAAAACACAAATCTGACTTGGCACCCCATGACCCACACAATAAAAAGTATGAAGCGCTTTCTGATCTGGCCTCTGACTTACTTTTCTAGCCACATCTCCTCTCCTTGGCTATGCTTTACTGAAATACTAGGTTTCTCTGAAAGTGCCATAAGCTCTCATTACTGTGTCATTCCTCTTCACTCTTGCACATTCTGTTCTCTTTATCACTAGCACTCTTTCTCCAGCTTTCTCTGCCTAGATAATGTCTATAAGTCTAGCTATTCTTAGCCTCTTTGTGCCTGTTGCCTCATCTGAAAAATGGGATAAGAACAAAGCTCAAGAATATTTAAAGGATTATAAAAATATCCAGCACCTAACAAGGTAAAATTCACAATGTGTGTGAATTATCCAATAAGAAATTACCAGGCACACAAAGAAACAGGAAAACGTGACCCATAATGAAGAGAAAAACACTCAACTGACAGTAACAGACCCAGAAATGACACAAATGATAGAAGCAGTAGACAAAGATGCTAAAACAGCTGTTACAACTATATTCCATATATACCAGAATGTGGAGGAAAATATAAAAGGACCCAAACAGAACTTCAAGAGACGAAAGAAAAGAAGTCTGAAATGAATATTCACTGGATAGTATTAACACCAGATCAGACACTGCAGTAGAAAAGATTTACAAACTTTAAGATACAGCAATAGAAACTACCCAAAATGAAAAACATTAAAACTGAAAAGAAAAGAAGAAGAAGAAGAAAAAAAAAAAGAGCAGAGCATCACTGAACTCAGGGACAATTTCAGGAAGCCCAATGTCTGTATAATTGGAGTTCCCAAAAGGAGAGGTGAGGCAGAGGAACAAAAAAAATATTTAAGGAAATAATGGATAAAAATTTTTAAATTTTATGAAAACTATAAAGTCACAGATCTGAGAAGCTCATAACTCCAAGCAAAAGAAATATGAAGACAACTACATCCAGGCACACTATCAGGTAGAAAGGAAAAACAATAAGATTGATAGCATATTTCTGTCAGAAATGATGTAAGCCAGGAAGGCCATGGAGCAACATCTTTAAAGACCTGAAAGAAAAAAGCTGTGAAGTTGGAATTCTATACCCAGCAAAAGTATCTTTCAAAAACTGAGAACAAAGGGGCTAGCCTGGTGGCATAGCGGTAAGTTCACACATTCTGCTTTGGTGGCCCAGGGTTTGCAGGTTTTGATCCCAGGTGCAGATGTACACACTGCTCATCAAGCCGTGCTCTGGAGGCATTCCTCAAACAAAATAGAGGAAGGCTGGCACAGATGCTAGCTTAGCGACAATCTTCCTCAAATTAAAAAACAAAATACAAAACCGAAAACAAAGACATTTCAGACATATAAAAGCTGAAAGAATGGATCAATATCAGATATGCAATACAAGAAATGTTAAAGGAAGTTTTTCAGGCAGAAGGAAAATGATAGCAGATAGCAATCAGGATCCACACAAAGGAATGAAGAGTACTAGAAATAGCTAATATGTGGATAAGCAGAAATATTTTTTCCCTTTATTTTTATAACATCTTTAAAATATAACTGTTTAAAGGAAAAATAATAAGGATGTATTGGACAATTGATAATACACACAGAAGTAAAATACATGACAACAAGAGCATAAAGGTTATGAAAGGGGAAACAGAAGTATGCAGTTACAGTGTCATAAGCACTACACATGGAGTGCTATAGTACTTGAAGATAGATGGTGATAAGTGAAGGATGTGTACTACAAACCCTAAGACACTCCTTAAAAAAAATGTTTAGTTAGTAGGCCAACAAAGGAGGTAAGATGAAATCATAAATGACCTTCAATTATTCTAAAAAATGCAGAAAAAGACATAAAAAGAAGAAAAAATGAACAATGAATATATTGGACAAATAGAAAATGAATAGCAAGATGAAAGATTTATACCTAGCCATATCAGTAATCACATTAAATGTAAATGGTCTAAATACCTCAATAAAAAGCAGAGATTGTAAAGTTGCATAAAAGGATAAGACACAATCATATGCTGCCTATAAGAAATCCACTTGAAATGTAAAGACACAGGGGCTGGCCAGGTGGCACAGTGGTTAAGTTCACACGTTCCACTTCCTGGCAGCCTGGGGTTCACTGGTTCAGATCTCAGATGTGGACATGGCACTGCTTGGCAAAAGCCATGCTGTGGTAGGCGTCTCACATGTAAAGTAGAGGAAGATGGGCTTGGATGTTAGCTCAGGGCCAGTCTTCCTCAGCAAAAAGAGGAGGATTGGCAGATGTTAGCTCAGGGCTAATCTTCCTCAAAAAACAAACAAAAAAAGAAATGTAAAGACACAAATAGGTTAAAGAAAAAGAACAGAAAAGTTCTACCATACCAAAATGAATCAAATGAAAGCTGGAGTAGCAATATTAATATTGGGCAAAGCATACTGCAGAATAATGTCCTTGTTATTTAACATTCCTTAAGTACTAACAAAGGGATCAATTTACCAAGAAGACAACAATCCATGCACCAAACAAGTTTCAGAATACATAAAGCAAAAACTAAACAAACACAAAGAAGAAATAGACAAATCCATAATTACAGTTAAAGACACTCCTCTCTCGGTAATCAATAGAAATAGACAGAAAATCCAGATAGAGAAGATCCAAAGAACATTATCAACCAACTTGACCTTATTGAGACTTACAGAACTTTCCATCCAACAATAGCAGAATATAGATTCTTTCTAAGTGCAAATATGATATTTACCAAGATACATCATATTCTGGGCCAAAAAACAAAGCTTACAAAGTTTAAAAGAATGTAAATCACACAAAATATGTTTTTTGATCATAACAGAATTAAATTAAAAATCAGGACTATTTGGAAAATCCACAGATATTTGGAAATCTGGTATCACACTTGTAAATAACCCATGCTTTAAAGAGAAACTCACAAGGGAAATTAGAAGACACCATGTAAAAACTTGGATGCAACCAAAGCAATACTTAAGAGTAAAATTTAAAGCATTAAATCCTTGAATTAGAAAAGAACAATCTCAAATTAATGATCTACCAAGAAAATGAAAAGCAAATTATTCCCAAAGCAAGCTAAAGAAAGGAGATAAAGATAAATCAATGAAATTCAAAACAGAAAACAGCAAAACAGAAAAACAGTAAAAGAAAAAAACAAGAAAATCCACAAACCCTCCCCAAACCAAAAGTTAGTTCTTTGAAGTTCAAAGAAGAAACAGATAACCTGAATAGTCTCATACCTATTAAAGAAACTGATTTCTTAATTAAAAATTTTTGACAAATAAATGAAAAGCAATAGTATATATTGGAGTATATGACGAAGCCATTTGATTTAAAACTAATTCGGCCTGACCTTGTTTTTCCAAAAGGGCCTGAAGTGGCCTGTTGAGCATGTGTTGTACATCTGCTTTAAACATTTACTATGTCCCAAAGACACGAATGATGCCCTTAAGGATAGGGATGTAGCTTACCCCCATGTCGGCATTTCTCTAAGGATAAGCATCTCTTCCTGGAGATAAAGGATTAATCACCAACCTGCTGCACCAGCTAAGCATCTCCTGACATTCCACAAGCATTCCTATCACATGTGATGTATAGTCTTTCTTTCAAGATGGTATGTAACCACTCTGTACACCCCACTTCTTCAGTGCCCTTCCTTCCTTGGGGAAAGAAGGCCCTGGGCTATAGTCCTCAAACTTGGCTCATAATAAACTCATTCCAATTTTGATTTACAGATTGACTATGGATTATTTGTATGGACATTTCTTGGCACAGTCACAGCAGGATTTCAGAGAAACCCACTGGAGACCACCTGGAATCTACACTGAACCAGCGTTCTGTACCAAGAGGGGCCCTTTGAGCACCCCCCAGATCACTGCATTCTTCAGGTAACCCCAGTGAGTTCTCCTGAAACAGGAACCTCCTTCTTTTAAGTTGGTGGTCCAGAGTTTATACTGATGGTAGCAGTTTCAAAGTTCTGGTCTAGGTGTCTTTAGGGGGTACCACTACACACCCGAGGTAAGAGGAACCTGAGGGGGAAATCGCTAGGAAAGAGAAACCTAGGAAGAATTTCCTAGGCCAGAGGAGCCTAGGGGGAACTTTGGAGTGAACGGGGCAGGCTGACCTTTGTAATTTGGCTTTAAATTGGAAGGATTTGTGTTTATAAAGTCTGAACAAACTGCTTGATAGAGAAATGAGAGTCTGAACTTGTTCAGCTCTGAAGAGACGGGACACCAGCTCCTCCCAGCCATAAGGTGTTCTCAAGCGACTGAGAACCAGATGGGAGTGTCTGAGGTTGAGCCTTGAGATGAGCAGCAGTCTCATAGGGAATTCCACAGTGATCCTTCACTTTAATTAACTGACAGCTTGTCCAGGGACGCACTATGAGGTTTGGTCGCCCACGTGTTCTGAGCTCCCATGGTAGTTTTAGACTGCAGGCAGGACAAAGTGAAGCATCTAAGAGAGTTTAGGACCTTTCTTTAGGGAGTAACACTCACAAGAAGCACATTTACAACCCACTACACTGTTCCTAGAAATGTTCAGACTTTATATTAAAATAAAACTAAAAGAAAAATGGGAAATTGAGCTTCTAAAAGACGACCAGTTCCTGAAAGGGCAGCCTCCCCTCAGAACTCTGGATGGCTTCATGCTGAAAGTCGCAAGTGCTCAATGAAATGAGAATACCTGTAAACAACTGATGAGATAACCCAGGATAATTAAAAATTACAGTGGCCACTGTGGGGCTCCTTTTTAAGAGCAAGGTAACAGAGAAACTTTTAGAGACGAGCTTGCCCACTTCCAGCACAACTGCTCAAACTAAAGGTTCTGGAAGCTGTAAATATTTACAAAGAATGAAAACAAAGC